ACAAATAAATCGGAATTTTAAAGCAGAAAAAACGTAAAACCTGTTCCAGGTAAAGCTATTTTAGTATATAGCTAGAGACTAAACACTAGATAATAGATACTAGATACTAGATATACTAGATACTAGATACTAGATACTAGATATACTACATACTAGTACTATAACTATAAAAACAATCCTTTTTGGCCTTAAAACATAAATCGATAAAAAATATTGGTAGCACTGCTTACATTATCAAATTCCTTATGTTTTGTTATTATACTCTACTCATAATGAATTAATTTATTATCAATTAAATTACCTATTGTAAAATTTAACCAATATGAATAGGTTTTAATGTAATTTTTCATATGCATGCGTTTTTTAGTTTCCTATTACGTGTTTACTTTAGTATCTATCCACTTTATAATAGTATTATTTTCATAAAGTTTTATATATTTAAATAACATTATAATTGGTGGTTAAAAGTACTTCAATTGGAGATTACTTTCACAGTAAGTTTTTACTATCAATGTATTAAAAAATGATCTTCATTTAATTATAATTATTCATTAAATAATTATCATGATTTATATTAATACAAATTTTCATTGGTAAAAAATGAATAAATTTTGAAATTGATAAATATTCAAAAACAAAAAATTAAGTAACTTAAATTTTAGTTGAAAATGTTACTTTTATAAAAATAATTTAATTTCATATTTTTTTTATTTAAGATATATTTGCTAAATTTAAACATTTATTACCTTAAATAAAATTTTTTACTATTATAATTTCATATTTCCAAAATTTGGTTAGTTATCTATATTATTTTATATTCAAAATGTAGTGAAATAATAAATGAAGTAGAATTTTATTCTACCTAGACATAATATATGATTAAATTAATAATTATTAATTCAAATTTCAAGACGTAATGAAATTTAATTAATTTATTGTATTATCATCGATAAATAACACATTTTAACTATTGAATAAAAAATTATCTATATTTTATGGTTTATTTAAAAATATTTAATTTTATTAATAAACCGTAGATCTTATTTTAAATTAAATATATGCTGATTAATAGTAGGCTTTATCGATTAAAGCTAAGATATGTCAACAAATGAACTCATTGGCCTTATTAATTTAATTTTTGAATTTGGGTTACTAATCAAATAGCTGACTAGCATAATTTATCATGCTGTATACCAATTTATGCGCATTTATAATTTAGGTAAAGCAAATTATGTTTTATGTTAATATTTATATGTTCTATATTAAATATAATATGTAAGACTAATATATACATAAAGATATATACATTTTTCATATGAATATATTGTAATTAATTCTATTTTAATGATTATATTTAAGAAGTTATTGTTCAAGTCTAGTCATGAAGTCAATCATTGAACTGTTGAGTGCCGCCAATTTTCAAACACTTTCATGTATGGTGTAATATTGTAGTACTATAACATATGACACAAATAGATCAATGCTTCACTTTTGGTGTCGGGGATACAANATGTTCTATATTAAATATAATATGTAAGACTAATATATACATAAAGATATATACATTTTTCATATGAATATATTGTAATTAATTCTATTTTAATGATTATATTTAAGAAGTTATTGTTCAAGTCTAGTCATGAAGTCAATCATTGAACTGTTGAGTGCCGCCAATTTTCAAACACTTTCATGTATGGTGTAATATTGTAGTACTATAACATATGACACAAATAGATCAATGCTTCACTTTTGGTGTCGGGGATACAATCTTGTTAAACTATATATATATATATATATATTTATAAAATTGTTCTGATATAATAACAAATTATTTAAAACTAATTGTAACCTTAATATTAAAGAAAAACTATGCATGATAAATAGTAACATATGTGAAGGTTAGGTATATTTGCTCATTAACGACGTTAGTTATGGGGGTAGTAAAGAAAAACAAAACAGTGATAAGAAAAAGCCCAAGACAGCATCAATGCAAGTTTTGTTATAAAGTATTCCCTTTCCCAAATGTATTAAAAAAGCATTATAGAGTGCATACTGGTGAAAGACCATATGAATGCGATTTGTGTGGTAACAGATTTACTCATCAAAATACTTTGAGAAATCATAAGTTATGTATTCATAACTGTGGAAGGGATGAAGATTTTACATGTGGTCACTGTGACAAAAAATTTCCAATTAAAGAACGTCTGATTGAACATGTGCGCATCCATACAGGCTACTTTCCTCACAGGTATATTAAATCTTCTAACTTTAATCAATATCATATTTAAGTGTAGCTTGATAATTCTATTGCTCCTTACTCATACCCAATCATTTATAATTCAAGATTTATATTTGGCGTTTGAGTATATTAAATGCCTTAATAAAGATCAGTAATAACTCAATTTTTTTTTTTTTTTTAAACTTATGTTTAATTTTAACTACTATAAAACTGAACATTTCATTATTTAAAATTTAATTTTCTTTAATAAATTTTGATTTTAATGTTTAATAAGGAAAAATTCATTATATATTTATTAAAATATATTATATATACAGGTGGAGCAATTATAAAAAATTATACAATAATCTATAGTACTTAAATCTGAAGCTAATTTTATAAATATTTTTATAACAAAATTAATTTCAACTTACTTTTTATATAATTGTTATTATTTATCTATACATTTTCTAGATGTGATAAATGTTTGAAAACATTCACTCGAGCTAGTCAGTTATGGCAACATGCTCGTTCACATAATAAGCAATATACATTAGAATGTGCCATATGTCATCAATTGTTTGCCTGTAGATCAGTTTTACGGGGCCATATGAAAAGACATATGGGTCAAAATGATTTTGTATGTGAAGTTTGTGGGAAATCATTTTTACGTAGAGATGGTTTAACAAAACATTTATCAAGTTATCATAACAATATTAGAGCATTTACTTGTAAAATTTGTCATAAACAATTTAAAGGTCATATGATACAACACTTAAGAACGCATAGACATGAAAAACCTTATGAATGCAAAAGTTGTGATGCACGTTTTGTTCAGCGATCACAACTTACTGTTCATGAGAGAAGACATAGTGGAGAAAAACCATATCCATGTCCAGTTTGTAAAGTATCTTTTGCACATTCTACAGCCATGAAAATGCATGTGCGTAGACATACTGGTGAAAAGCCATTCAAATGTTTAGTTTGTACAAATACAGCCTTTACACAACTACCACATTTAAAAAAACATATGTTGACTATACACAAAACTGACAAACCATATTTATGTATAAAATGTAATTCGTACTTTAAAACTAAAACTCAAATAATTACTCACGAAGAGTCCTGTTCTCCTAAACAAGAATCTAAAGAGATTATTGCTCCTGGCATGGCATTGGATCGAATGCGTATGTTGTTAGCTGTTTTACTAATTCGTATATCAACTACTGAAAGATTAAATGCTCTAGGATTTGGTAAAAGATTAATAGACTTAGTGCTATGTGATTCTATAGAAAATTCAGGACGTTGTCCATATCGTGGTAATGGTCTAAGTGAAAATGATCTATTAAAAAAAAATATTGAGATTTTATTGGAATGGACAGTTCCTAAAATATATATGGATCGGTTTAAAAGTGAACGACGCACTACTGAAGAAATTTTAGAGGAACTAACGTCGTCGTGACTTTCTTAGTTATATTGTATAGCATGCTATTACTTAAAAAGCTTTTCTGTATTATATAATATTTAAAAGAATCTGCCACAATCAGGTTATTATTTTAAGCCTTTTCTATAATCTGTCTTTAATTAAATTATATTTGCCTTATAAACATATTTTCCAAGGCCTAATTATTATAAATTTTAAATTTAACTCTAAAAAAAATTATTTTATTTTACACTTTATTGTGGCACTATGTAGTAATGATATGACAATGAATTGTTATAGTAATTATGCTATTAAAATAGTCTCCATTTCTTCCGCAGCTATTATGCACTTGCAACACAATATGTTTATAAGTTGTTAAAGTGGTGGAGGTTGAGTTCTTATAAATTGTATAAAGTATCTTATAAATTGTAAATAAATATAATTTTACATTAAAGAACTAATGCATATATAAGTTGAATTAAAAACAATTTTAAAAATATTTTATTTTTAAAAAAATTATATTGCTTTTTAACTATCACTGTAATGAAAAGACTACGTATTAAGCTCTACTATAAAATTAAATTTGGTGATGGTTTCACAAGTATTTATATTTTGATTTGCTTTATGCTACAACCAAATTATATTTTTTACTTTATTGATAAATTTTTTTTGAATATCTAGTTGAATTGTATGTTGAGGTTAAATTAATTGTTTTTTTAGGTGTTATGTTAACAAATTGGATGCCAAAGTAAAGTTGTTAATATTATTTTAATCTCTTATATATACAAGTGAGTCTTAAAAAAATGACAAAATCCAATAACTTTTAATACATTTAATTTTTAAAAAAAAATTATTTTTAAACTATGTTAAATACATATTTTTTATAATTTGTTTTTAATAGTAAAATAAATATATAAAAATTTATTTTTTCAAAATTTTAAAATAGTTATTTCTTAAATCTTTTTTACAAAATATTTTTATAAATAAATAACAATTTTAAGACGAAAAAGTACTTATTAAGTTACTAGCATCTTAATACACATAATGGATATAACATGTTAATGAATGCAACCCATACCGCTGTATATTTATAACTCATTCTTCATTCTCAATTCTTATTCACTATATGCAATACTTGTAACTTGAAAAATATTTGTCCTACAATTACTATCGGCACATCAAATTTTTTTTGTAAAAAAATGGCTAAACTATTAATGTTTCAAAATTTTAAAAAACAAAAATATATACTATGAACATAGTCTAAAAATGTATAAATTATTTAAAAAAAATTGTAATGACATGTTAATTAAATGTAATTATAACTAGATCTTAAGTTATGGGATTTGTCATATCTTTGCAACTCTTTTGTATATACAGAGTGGAACAAATGATAACTCTTATAACTTTTGACAGAAAATTTATTTCTCTGTAAATTTTCTTTTTTTAACAATTTTTTATCTTAAACTATGTATTTTTAAATACACAACAAAAAAAAATTAAATTTTTTCATAATTTATTTTTAATAATCAAATAAATTAAAAGAAGTTATTAATTAAAAACGGCTATTTTTAAACCTTTTATTACAAAAAATGTGAATAGATCAATAAAAATTTTGGGACAAGTAGAGTTACAATCATTTTTAACTTAGAGTGGGTATATAGCATATGTGGATACAGCACTAGTAAATAGAGTGTTCAGTAATTAAGGAAATGGGTTTCTATTGTTCTCTTTGTTTGTAACAATTGACTTGTTTCCTTACTTACTAAATATTGTATATTTATAAAGCATACTCCATCTACACTAAATACCCACTCTATTGTAGTAATAGATCTGTAACTCATTAAGTATTTGTCTTTAAATTTTTATTGATTCATTAATCATGTAAGAAAAGTGCTAAATTAGCTATTTTAAATTAAAAAAAAAACTTTTTTTAATATTGAAATAAAATAATATTAAATATAATTTCAATGTAGTCTAAGAATGCATAAATTAAAAAAAAAGTAATACCAATATGTTAATTGTATCAAAAATTATTAGAGTTGTCAGTTATATTTTTATCTCACTCAGTATATATATTTAAAAAGAAAAGTTTCATTTTAAACCAAAGACTTAATGTGGATTACCAAAGAATAATATTCTAGTCATGCCAGAAGAATCACTTAATAAGAAAATTATATAACACTAATTTATCTTAATTTACCTTAATTCTTATCTAAAAACCTACATGACAGTGTCATAAAATAAATCTTTTTAAAGTAATTTCATATTCATCAAATAGATGTTATAATTATTTATTCAATTTCATTTTACTTATAATCTACAATACTCAAATTCTGTAATATATTTATTCTTATTTAAAACAACATCGACTATTTCAATTGAAAATTAAGTTTTTTAATTGTGTTGACTAGATGTAAATTTTAATTTTATGTATAAATAGTTTGTTAATTAGGTCTTAGCTAGATTATGTATTCTGTTGTGTTCATTGTTTTGTTTATTTTTTAACCAACCATGATTTATATTATATTAAGTTATTTATATCATTCATATTGTATATGATGTGTGAAATTAGTGAATTGAAATTTTTTAATAAATTATCTTTAATTGTTAAATATATTTTTTTTTATTTGGGTTACCTTGTAGTGTTGAAAAGTGTGTAATATTTAGATTTATAATCAAAATATTCATGATTGGGATTACATTTTTTGTGACCCTATTTTAATTAAAAGTTTAAACATAAGATTTAACACTATCACTTGTATTTTGTATTAAAATTTCATGTTCATAAAAATTTTTGGGTTTTCAATTAAAATGTACTTGGATGTCAATTTATAAATAAACTATAAGTTATATATAATTTGTTTTAAAATAATTTATTTTAGTGTTTAAAAAAATATATTTTTGATATATAATATTATTCTCTATACGCATATAAAAAAGAACATTCAAATATTTAGTGTGTACAAATACAGCCTCTACACAACTACCACATTTAAAAAAACATATGTTGACTATACATAAAACTGACAAACCATATTTATGTATAAAATGTAATTCGTACTTTAAAACTAAAACTCAAATAATTACTCACGAAGAGTCCTGTTCTCCTAAACAAGAATCTAAAGAGATTATTGCACCTGGTATGGCATTGGATCGAATGTGTATGTTGTTAGCTGTTTTACTAATTCGTATACATCAACTACTGAAAGATTAAATGCTTTAAGATTTGGTAAAAGATTAATAGACTTAGTGCTATGTGATTCAATAGAAAATTCAGGACGTTGTCCATATTGTGGTAATGGTTTAAGTGAAAATGATCTATTAAAAAAAAGTATTGAGATTTTATAGAACAGTTTAATAATAATGACAGCTCTATACACATATAAAAAAATCTTAAATTTGAGTCTTACTATAAAAAACACAAAATTATAAAAAAGTTTTTTATTTTATCTAATTGTCATCGCTTACATTCCAACTTTGACTTATATATGTTCTTTTTAAACTAGATTTCATCATTTTCTTTTTGCTACTATTAGACTGAATTTTTCTTTTTAATTTAGATTTAGGAGTTTCACTATTCAAATTAACAATTATTTTAGATTCTAATATTTCATCTTTCCCTTCACATTCTTCTTCAGACTCATTTTTAATATCTTGTTTACTATTGAAAACAAAAGAACGTTTTAAATTATCATTAAAAAATATTTACAGTAAATAATAAATGAAGACAAACCTATGAGATGTACTATAAGCCATACAGGTAACACGACAATCCAAAAATATGGAACATCTTTCTACTGGTTTTTTATTAGGTTTTAGTTCCCATACAGTTATATGACCATCACTGAGAGCAGTTATGAACCATTCATCAACTTTGCTTAAACATTTCACTCTAATGTCTCCAATTTTCATATCCCATATTTTTTCTTTTTTAATTATATCGTAACATTTTAAAAATCCATTTTCAGTACCAAAACAAACTAAATTTTCCTTTAAAAAAAATTAAATTGTTTACCTGTAAAACTATATTATACTGTGTAAAAATATAAAAATAAGTCTTAAAAAATACTTACGCTTAAAAATATAGTTCCATGTATTTTTTGATCACATTCTATATTAAATATAATTCCAGCTGTTTCTACACTGTATATAATAAGTTTAGTATTAAGAGGTAATGCATAATATTGTCCAATTGGTGACCAAATAATTTTTTCAAAAAAATAATAAGCACCCAAACTAGATAAATAATTATTAATATTAATTCCCAGAAGAAATATTTTTCAGTTTCTCCACAATTTAAAATATTACCTTGAGTGATTTGTGGTATAAGCTGGTCTACCTTTAACTAAATTCCACGTTCTTAATGTTTTATCTTTTCCAACAGAAAGAGCTAATTTTCCACTAGGATGAACTGCTAGACAAGATACTCCTAAAAATTAAAATTTAATAAGTTATCATAAAATGTGAAGAATAAAACTATTTCTAATCCTATAAATACCTGATCCTTTATGAGCTTTATCCCAAAGTTTTTTTAATTTCCAAGATCCAGTTTCATAAATAGCAATGGAACCATCTTCACTGGTGCTTATCAAATGTGACTCGTCAGGAGTGAAACTCAATGATGTTACTGTACCACTATGCTGCAGTATAGTGTGTATATGACAACGTTTAACCATATTATAAACTTCAACAGTCTCATCTGTACTACTAGACACCATATATTTTGATGAACATGCAACAGCTCTAATACTTGCTTGATGAACATGATCATTAAATGATTGAACGAGTTCGACTTCCTTGCATTTCTGATTTAAATAAGTATGAAAAATTAACAAGTACCTCAAATAGATTCTATAAAAAATTACCTCATTTATTAAACGAAATTTTACTCCAATTACAAACGATTCGTAACTTCCAATAATAATTTCAAATATATCCATTATAATTAAACTTATTAAAAAAACAGTACCCTACAAATAATAATTTAGTTGTTTAAATGTTGTTCACCACGTTTTTTTTTTAAATCAACATGCTTAATACTTTCTTATTGATAGTGGTTTATATTGTTAAGAGATAAAAAAATGTTATCAGTATTATTGACCTAGTAAATTTTTCTGATCTGAATGAAGTGGGAATTGGTTAAATGTGAAACCTTTATACAAGTCTAAATGGCATTACACTTTCAAAGATTTAATTCAATAATGAAATTTTATACCTTACTTTTTTTTGTTTTTATATGACTCAATGATAATTTAAAGTATGATTTTTAACAATTATATATAGCTATTTTTTCTCTATAGAAAATATTAGTGTGTGAATTTTATATACTTTTTAAAAAAAATTGTTCCTCGACTATTTTAATTTTTATTTTCTACAAATTATGACAAATTTACATACAACTTCTGAGCTTACGGAGTTCACTCCATTATGTCCTGAAGATGAACAATCTACAGTTACTTCATTTTTTGCAAAAATGTTTAATTTCAAAACAAGTTCAGCAGAAAATGAAGAAAACAAAATTTGTAGTGCAGACAACTTAGCTAACAATCATGTATATATAACAATTTCATATTTAAAAAAATGATTTATTAAAAACATGATTTTGATTTTAATAGGAAAACGCTGAAAAAGAAGTAACACAATCTCTAATGATTGTAGATGCTAGGAATTTACCAAATCTGTTAAAAAGAGTTGGTAATTTATTACCAATTTATTCTGGTGTAAGTTATCTTTGAAATCTTAATGACAATTATTTTAATTTTTTTAATCTTTATTTCTATTATTAATAACTGTAAATCATTTTTAGGAAAATCCATCATTTAAAAATGCTGATTTAAAACAATATTGGATGCCTGATTCTGTCAGCAAAGAATGTTATGATTGTTGTGAGAAATTTACTACATTTCGTCGTCGTCATCATTGTCGTGTTTGTGGTCAAATTTTTTGTTCAAAATGCTGTTACCAAGAAATACCTGGAAAAATAATGGGATATTCTGGTTAGAAAATATTATATTTTTGTGATATATAACTTAATCATATTTTTACTATTGCAGGTGATCTTAGAGTTTGTTCATATTGCTGCAAAGTTGTATTATCATATTTACAATCTGCATCCAATAATGTAGTTCTTTCGCCAGACTTGATATCATTAAAAAATGATTTACAAGCAAAATTTAGCTGTACTGAAATGACAAATAATTCAAATTCAAGTGTAAAATATACAGAGAATAATATAAGATCCTTGAGTACTCCCAGTAGAAAAATATCTGTTGGTTATCAAGAAGAAAATTTTGCATTATCAAAGTAATTAAAATAATTTATTTCAAAATTATTAAATACTCATGTACTTTTTTTTTTTTTCAGATCAAATACTTTAAATAGCTTAACACCAATTTCTTCTTCTGATGACCCAAATACAATGAGTAATTTAAATAGTTTGTTTGAAGAAATGACTAAAATGAATAGTGGATTAAATCTTAAAACACATAGATATCGTCTAAGAAACTATCATTCATGTTTTCTTGGACATAACTTAATTGATTGGTTATTAAATTGTGGAAAAGTTACTAGCCGGTAAAATTTGTAAACGATTTTATCAAAAATGTTTTCAGTTATAAATAATTTTGTGAATATTTAGAATGCATGGTGCAGCTATTGGTCAAGTACTTTTAGATGCTGGATTTATAGAGGATGTAATGGAAAATCAAGGAGATTTTCTTGATGGAAATTCTCTATATAGATTTTGTTCTGTTCTGCCAAACAAATCTAGTACAAAAATCACCAACTCAACTCCAAAAATTTATGGTAGATATTTTAAGTGCAACTCTTTGTTTTACTTCATATTATTAATATATATATTAATTTTTATTAGAAAAACAAAATTCAAATATTTCAAATGGAAGTTTCAAATTAGATTTAGATCTTCAAAATAATACTGTTCAAATATCAAAACCAAATTCCCAAAAAATGAAACTAAATTTTAGTAATGCATAATAAATGTTAAGAAATCATCTTAATATATTAACAAACTATTTAATTTTTTATATGGCTTAGCTACTGAACCTCGTCCTATTGATACACTTTTGTACAAACTTCTGATTATTATTTCGAAAAAATATAATGTAACAAATTTTGGACCTATGAAAAATTGGAATCCCCCAAAAAAATTATGCAATGAAAATAATGAAAAAAAAATTTTTGATGATTTAAAGTATGTACTTTTCTTATTAAAATATCTTTTCCCATAATTTTAACCCTTGAAGTTACTTATCTTAAATACATTATTATTACTAATAACTTCAGGTGTATTTTTGAAAACCATAAAACAAAATTTGTTAAACAGTCCTTAACAAAAACTGGACTTTCTGAAAATTGGATTGATACTTTGTTACCTTTAGCAAACTTAGTTGTCAATGAAGTATGCCCTGATTTATCTACTGATACAGAAAATATGAATATTTGCGAGTAATATAATTTATATTTAACTGTTTGATGTCTTTAATTAATATTATACTTATAATTTATAAGTTATGTGCAAGTAAAAAAATTGGAAGGAGGAGAAAGAAATGATAGCTGTATAGTTAGTGGTATTGTATGTTCAAAAAATATATCAAATAAAGCAATGGCATCTAAAATATCTAATCCAAAAATATTACTTTTACAATGTTCAATTATATATCAACGAGTTGAAGGGAAATTATTGTCTTTAGAACCTGTCTTAATGCAAGTAAGTTTTATTTTCTTGAAATAGAACCACTATGTATCAATCCAAAACTACAAAAATATTTGTATATACTTTGAAATAATAACATCTTTGGGCACATAATATTTTGAATTAAAGTTATGAGTTATTTCATTTTTTTTTTCATTTACCAATTCAATGAATTTAGTAATGCTACTCATATTTTTGTTAATTATTTTTAAAAGTAATATATCTTTTCTAATAACTTAAAATATTCAATTTAAACAAGTGTTTTCTAATAAGTTGAAGCGTTTTGCAGAATAGTTTGGTGATAAAAATTTAAGAAATTTGCAAATGGTGCATATTAAGTACTTCTAATATCATTAGACCATTATTTGATTATAAATATAGCTTTGATGAATGATAAACATTGACGTTTGTAAATCAACTTTCTTTTTGTATGAAACTGGATTTATATGTTATTTATGTCATTTCGTCGAAATCTTTTAATTTGTTATTCGTGTATCAATTTTTTACTCTTTAATTATTATTTATTTTATAAGGGAAGATCACAGTGATGGGATCATCGATTTTTAAAAATGAATTTAATCTAAATTAAATGTACAGTTGCACTTACTTCGAATTTTTTGTCAATGCCCCACCTAAAAGGGGAAAAGTTACCTCAAGACGGGTTGACTTTTTGAATTTTTTCAAAAATTTTTTAAAAATTAATTAATAAAACATTGTTATTAATATAAATTATTTTTTCTATTAAAATTCGAACTTCACAGTTAAAAAAATAATTTTCAGTGATTATGATTCTGTTTATATATTTTTTTGTGTTGATTGATTGTACAAATAAATATTGGTAAAATTGACAATTTTATATAAATATTAGGAAAAATAATTAAATGTCATGTTAAAAATAAAGTATAATTTTATCGTAAAATTACATAAATTCTTTTAAAAAAATTTAAAAAGTCAACCCGCTTCTTAGGATTTGACCTACGTACTATGAATACTAGAAGTATATGCATTATTAACTGATCAATAGATTTCTGCGATTATGGGATGATAAAAAATGGTATTTAAGGTAGTTCAACAAAGTCATTTTTCCCTGTTTAGGAGGCATTGGTAAAAAATTCAAAGTAAATGTAACTATATAATCAATTAAGATAAAATTCATATAACTTTTTTGAAAATTGGTTATCCCAACACTGTGACCTCCACTTGTTTATCTAATTTAATTATAAATAAAAATTAAATATTATAATTTCAGGAACAAGATTACTTTAAAAACATTGTTTGTCGCATTGTGTCAATGAAACCTGATTTAGTGTTAGTACAAAAAAGTGTTTCTCGGATTGCCCAAGAACTTTTTAACCAAATGGGAGTTACTCTTGTGTTAAATGTCAAAACATCTATATTAGAACGATTAGCAAGATGTACAGGTGCTGAAATATTAACTTCAGTTGATGCTCATATGGGAAAACCTGTACTTGGAACATGTCAACAATTTTATGTGGAACAATTTGGAAAAAAATCACTTATGTTTTTTGAAGGATGCCCTGTCCCCGAACAAGGGTGTTCAGTTTTACTCAGAGGAAGCTCTATAAAATGTTTAAAAAAACTAAAAATCATTCTAAAACAATTAATTTTAATGATTTACAATTGGAAATTAGAAAAATCGTATATAATGGACCAATTTGGTACTCCTCAAATTACTGAGAGAAATACAATTAAATCAAATGTTTTCAAACTTAATAATGAAAAATTAGTTAATGATGATCCTAATTTCTTTACAAATTCACTCATGTCAGCAAATCCTGAAGAAAATGTAATTAATAAATTTAATCATATTTTGGAAAATACTATTCTTTCATTATCTCCATTAGTAAACGTAAGTACTTAACAGAGTAAACTAACTAATAGTTAATAAACAATGTATTTTTTATTCCATATTTCATCTCTTAAAAATTGACAACTTTTATTAAATATTTGATCATTAAAACTTTAGTTTACAGTACCATTTTTGGAATCTGAAGTTGGAAAAAAATGTAAATTACGAAAATATTTTTCTAATCAAATTTATGTTTCGAAAATGTTAAACAATATGAAAAAATCAAGTAGACATGATAAACAATGTAAAGAAGAATCAGAAATAAGTGTAATATTGCATTTTACTTATCATATTAGATATTTTGAATACTTAAAAATTAATAATTTTCAATATATGATTTTACAGTTGAAACCTAAACATTTGTTCATCACGTCTAAACTTACCGAAGATATAAATAATGATAAAGTACAAAGTATGTTAGCATTATTTAGAGCCCAAGGTGGTAGAATACATGGTGACTCTACAAAAAACTGTTTGAATGAATCAAAAAAAATGAATAAAAAAAATGATAAGCTAATTGATGTGTTTGATTTTATGAATCATCAACGTCTACCAATGATGTTTTATAGTTTTTGCCAAGAATCTAATAACGCTCCATCTTTTTGTGTAGAACCTAGGTTTGTATAATTTTTTTATGAAAATTTTAATATTTGATGTGAAATAGATGTATAAATATAACTTTTTTTAGATTTGTGTTTATGGAATTTTATGGTGTCAATGATATATGTTTAGGAAAATTTTTACAAAGATATTGTTTTCGTGATACATATGAATGTCCTTCTGAAACATGTGATAGTCTGATGCTTAGGCATGAACGTCGATTTATACATGATAGAGGTTGTTTAAGGTTAATTTTATCCAATACTAATAGTCGATTGATTGAACCACCATATAATGAAAATTTGATTTACACTTGGTCATTTTGTAAGAAATGCTCTTTGGTAACTTTATTAATATTTTTAATCATATTGTAATATTAGTTCATTATGAAATTTAAAGTGATTGTTTAATTTCAGATTTCTCCAGTTGTGCCTATTTCTAATGACACTTGGTCAATGTCATTTGGAAAATATTTAGAATTAAAGTTTCACTTTCAACCATGTTTATGTCGAGCATTACCTGATTGTTCTCATTGTCTTAATAGAGATTATATTCAATTTTTTGTTTATAATAAAACGATTGCTTCTTTTGAGTAAATACTTATACTTATTATTTTTTATTATAATAATTTTAATCTATACATTAATAATAATTGTATTAAATAATTAGATATTCCGATATAAATTTATGGGAAATTAAGCTACCTAGCCTAAAATTAAAAATAGTACCCATGAAAGTTTCAAGTTATCGTCCTGATAAATTAGAAGAAGTTAAACAGTGGGCAATGATGGGACATGAAATATTCAGTGCAATTATGGTTAAAATATGTTATTTTTCTACTGAAAATACTGGTACATAAAAAATTTAACTTCAATTTCACTTATTATAGCCTATAACATTTTATTATTTTAGCTAATTTTTCCCCCCTAAAAGTACTATTACAAAAAGATCAAGCTTCATTCAAGCAAAGAGTTGACGATATTCAACTAAAAATCACTTCACCATCATTAACTGATCAAGATACAACCTATGGTATATACTTTTATCAACAAATTATTTATTAAAATTATTCATAATCAATAAAATATTGAAAATCTAATTAAAGTATGTGGTGAGCTTTCTTTTTTTTTTATCATTTTTTTTATTACTTTGTACATTATTAGCTACTATATTAAGTACAGTTTGGAGATTGGATGATTCCATTGTATTATTAAAAAGAGCTGTATGTGAAGCTATTATTAATTGGAATTCTAGACTTCTTAAAATTGAAGTTGCTATCAAAAAAGAAGACAAATCTCAAAAAAAAAGTGAAACTAAATCATCAAATATGTCTGATATCATAGAAGAAGTTATGAACTTTGAATATACTACTACTCAAACAAATATTGAAGAACATGAAATTACATCCGACTCCAGTCGCCAATTATTAGCAATAGAAATAGCTACAGAGCATGATTATGATCATTTTAATGATTCAGACTTAATTTTTAATGATAAATATCACTTAAATGCTCTACAATCACAGAGTGATATAACTACAGATAGTGATAGTGACGCTGTAGATGATTGTTAGTATATATTTCCTTTTATAACTGTATAATAAAAATAAAAAAAAAAATTTATAATAGGTGACAACAGTATACAAAATGAACCAAAGTCTCAATCATCCATGTCTCAATCAGATAAAAAAAGTGTAAAAACCATTTTATCTCAATTTTTACCATCATCAGCACCTCCTACAGTTATACCAGTAAGATTTTTAAAAATATCTATTTTAATTAGTAATGAATAATTGTAAAAATTATTGTATTTAGAATCCAATAGAATCTTCTGAACACCATGTTTTAAATATAAACTGTCGAATTCCTATTTCCATCTATGAGAAAGAACCAAGCTCTATTATTGCTTTTACTTTAGGTTCAACTCTTTATCAAAATAGTTTATCAAATACTGAACTAAATATGTAAGTTTATTTATTATTATATCTCATAAAATATTTTAAAACAATTATTTTTGCTAAAGTTACCCTACTAATATTTTATGAACATTAACGTAATACACATTTTCAAAGTAAAATATTTTATTATTTATTTTAAACTAAATTAAATTTTTATTTTATTTATTAATTATTAACTTTATATATTTAAATACAAAGTAATAAATTTAATTTTCCTTATATTTAGATCCAATGATGAACAAATAGAACCAGATAATGATCAAGCAGAAATTAGTGATAAATTAAATTCAAAACACCATTTTGAGGTATTCTCTTTTTTTATTTAATACATTTTATATGTAATATGCTTTTAAGTTTTCATTTGAACAAAGTAAAGTAATATCAATCTTAGTATAATTTTATTTATAATTAATATTTTCATAATTTTTTTTATTTTATATGCTTTAATATATTCTAAATATACAATTTAATTTACAGATAAGTTTCTCAGATTCTACCACAAACTTTTTTGTTAAAGTTTATTTTGCTAAGCAATTTGCTAAATTAAGAAATTCATTTTTTATGTCTGGAGAAGAAATGTATATTCGTTCTTTAACAAGATGTATATCATGGTCTGCTCGAGGTGGAAAATCTGGTTCAAAGTTTTGTAAAACTAAAGGTAGTAAAATTCTTTTGTATTAAATTAAAACATGCATTTCAAATTTAAAACTTGTTAGATGATAGATTTGTATTGAAAGAAATGTCAAGATTGGAAATTCAACCATTTTTGGAATTTGCTCCTCAGTATTTTAATTATATTCATTCGTGTCAATCTAAAGCACGACCAACACTTCTATGTAAGATTGTCGGAGTATATAAAGTTAGATATCGAAATACTGTTAGAGGATCATCTTTCAACTCAAATTTGTTAGTTATGGAAAATCTATTTTACAATAAGAATATTTCTCATATTTTTGATTTGAAGGGTTCTGTTAGAAATAGATTAGTAGATCCAAGTTCTCAAGATGGAGAAGTGGTATTGTTAGATGAGAACCTAATTAAAAGTAATTATTGTAATAATAATGATAATGTTTTAACACTTAAATGATACACTTAATAATTAATAACAGTGTCATGTGAAACTCCATTGTATGTCTATCCACATTCCAAGATTATTTTGAATCAAGCAATTAATGATGATGCAGAATTTCTTACTTCACAACTGGTAATGGATTATTCACTTTTGGTAGGTCTTGATGATAATTCTGGACAATTAGTTTTAGGCATAATAGGTAAATTATTTATTAGATATAAATTTATTCTATTTTTATAGTTATTTAATGTCATTTATAATATTGTTTAGATTATATTCGAACATTTACGTGGGACAAAAAATTAGAGACTATGGTTAAAAAATCAGGACTTTTAGGTGGTCAAGGAAAATTACCAACGATTATTTCTCCTGAAGAATATAAAAATAGATTTGTAACAGCTATGAATTTATACTTTTTATCTGTACCAAACAGATGGACGGGTATGGCTAAAGGATTTGAACATCGGTTTTAAACAATATATTTTAATATTATTTCTGTGATATTGTTGAAGTATTCTTTTGTGTTATTAATTTAATTTGAAAACCAAATAGTTAAATTTGTTTCTCGGTCTTAACAAATTAATGTACTTGTTCAAAATTATAAAATTATTATATAACAAAATTTTGTTTTACTCATATAAAAAATAGTAATAAACAATGTTAATGTTTTTGTCAATTATTATTTTAACATGTTTAACCATATAATTATTTAGTAGGTATAACTACTAACTATTAAATATAAATGTAATATGTACAATAGCAGAGTAGTGATATACTTTCTATTTTATAATGTTGATCACCTACCTACTCAAATAATCCATGATAAATAATCATCTTGACAACATACTTTGTGATAATGAAAATTGTGGATAAGATGAGAGAAAATAGACTTAGATGGTTTGGTCATGTTATGAGGAAAGAAGAATCGGAAGCTGTAAGAACAGTTATAGAAATGAATGTTAAAGGAAGAAGAGGTAGAGGAAGACCAAGAAAGAGATAAAGAGATGTTATTGAATGTGATACATGGACGGCTGATTGTACGTAGATGATGTAGGAGATGATCGTGTTAAGGGGAAGTTTTAGATAAAGGTGGCCGACCTCAAATAGTTGGGATTATGGCAAGGAAAAAGAAGAAGAATAGTTTTAATTATATCATAATTCATTATTAAACTAAACATACTACAAATATTTTTACTATAATTATATTTATTAGTGAATATATTTTATTAACTTTACACATAAATTTAAATTTAACTAAAATAGTTTTAAAAATATTTATCTGTATAATAAATTATTGTACTTTCAATTAACTATTAAATAAGAATAAATTATGGGCTTTTGATAGTTACGTTTTTGAAAAATTTTAAAATCATGCTTCGAGTGATTATGAAGGTCTTGTAATGAAATATTTTAAATTCTTATTAGGGCTGTCTTTTACGTTTTTTAACGACTTTTTTATAAGCTTTTTCCCATTTGGTACTACTTTTTTTGTCATCTGAACCTGGTGGATGAAGACGCATCTGAAAAATATTATTTTAATTACAATTAGGTAAAATTAATAATATATTGAAACCTTAAAGGTTAATAAATAAGCTTAAAAAGATAAGTAATTAAGTAGGTGAAGATAATTTCACTGTTCATCCAATTTATCAATAATGACACAAAATATAAAACAAAAGTAAATTTCGATTGAAGTAAAATTTATACTAAATTATTTATTACACAAATTTTGTATGTATAAACACATTGTCTTTAATTGGTAAAAATTAGATCAGAGTTAAAATAATAGTAAATAATTTTTTTATAATGTAAACTTTATGTAGTTCAGACACGTACATATGATTTTTCAATAAGGGCTAATACCAAAATTAAAAATTTTAGTTTTAGCCCTTATATCCTCTGAATATAATAATGTATTTATATATTGTATACATTACATTGAACACTTATTTTAAATCTGAGGGCTGTATTTCCTATGCCTTTTAAAGTACAATTGAAAGCTTCACAGCATCTAAAATATATTTTTGTAGATAAATTTTACTAATTTATTACATTATTAATTCTATTAATAAAGACTTTGTTACAAATTAAAAAAATTATGATTTTTCTAGTTCGCTATAGACAAAATTACTAAAATTTAAAAAATTGATATCTGTGTCACCATTTATATTGTTTATAAATTTCTAATAGATAATATTTTGGAAAAAAAGTAACAAAACATATAAATGTGTTAGTCACGATACGAGCTTAGAACATGCATAGATTTGGCGTTAGTATTATATAAGAAAATGTTTACACTGCATTAAAAAAAAATACAGTTGATAATTATTAGGATTTTCCAACCTCTTTACGTTATATTTTGTTAGAATTTTTAATTTTATTCGTTATTCCCGAATAAAATATCTGATTGTTTCTTCGTCAATCTCCTCTGAAAGTTATAAATTAATATTACATTAATATAAATTATGTATTAAATATAAAATAAATAAGTTATGTTGAATATAGTTAATCTTAATTATTAATGGAAAGCACAGTATCAACCATCAGCATAACTAGAACAAATTTTTAGGGAAGTTAGATTTAATTTTTCCCACTTTAAAAAATGTATTTATACAATAATACATACATATTATCTAAATGTTTAGAACCGGCTAGTTACGCTGATGATATTAAATTATATTAATTTTAATTTTGCAATGCATTTAATAATAAAATATTTAGTTTATTAACTGTTTAATTAAAGTAAATGTTTAAAATGTCATTCTAGATTTCGTAACTTATTGAATTGAAAATTTTCTAGGTAAATTAAGTAAAATAGTTATTAACGCGATTGAATAAATATTAAATAAGTCATATAATATGAAAGTACCTAAAATGATAATTTCTAAAAAATACGAACATAACTATTAATTTGTCTCGACCCAAATGTCGGTATCCAATTTTTTATATTTTATTTAAAAATAAAAAAAATTTACTTATAAGTAGGGCCCGGATTTTTATGCAAATGCATATTCTACTACAGTTCACTTAGAGTTATTTTGATTGAAAATTTCGACGTTTTATAATGAATAGATTCTATTTCTATAATTTATTTTACATATTTGATCAAAAATAACTATAAATCGCATATTTCTGTATAATTGCATAAAATTTACAAATGTACTTATACTGTTATAATATTTATAGATATTAAAATACATTTTTAAAATTTTGCTCGATTTTACACAGTTAATTATTTTATAATTATTTTTTTCATTCAAATCACATCTCAACAAAAATTGGCGAGAGTTCCCACCACCCAATTTAATCAGCAACGTGTAAGTTGTAACTGCGCCAATGTATTTCTCTCAAAAAGTCATTTTGAGCACTAACTGGTGTCGCTAATGTCGATATGGTACTAAACGGCTATTCGTTGGTGTAGTTTATCCGTACCTACTTTTACTATTGGAATCAAATATTACTTATTAAATGTGACATTTCTTAATTGCCCAAAACAAAAAATGACAATTGTTACGTAAGAGATCACCCAGGTGTCTTTCGTACAGATGGAGCTATATTATTTTGTAATTTTTGTAAAACTAATGTATCGCGTGACAGAAAATCACAGATTACTCGACATTTAAAAACATCAAAACACATTGAAAACGACAAGTTAAAATCAAATAAAGACCAGGTCCGTCAACAGTATTTAAAAAAGTCGTTTGATCTAACCAAAACAAATGTAATATAGGTCATTATTTTGTAAAACTGAAAACAAAGCATTTTTGTAATGTTTGGTTTAACTATGAATTTCTTGATCTATTATTACAAAAATATAATATTGTCTATTATTTATAAACCTAGAAGTAGAACACTTTTGTAATGTTTAGATTAATTGTAATTCCCGAATTATTGTTACTATCAGGAAGTAAATATTTATAAACATTTTTGAAAATGATTACTATATGAATTTTATAAAAAGAAAAACAAAATATGTTAGTATATAAGATGAAATGGAATGAATTGAAGGGAGGAGAGAGAGAAGACCTCGGGAGTACCGAAGGTAACCTCTTTCCGTGTGGTACGTTTGTGACATTAAGTTTTTATTTTGGTGTATTATTTATTTATCCGTTTTTAAGTGTATCAATATTTTATATGTTTTATTTTGATTGATTATATCTTTATTAACTACATTTTGCGTTATTATTGAACTACTATAACTATAAGTTAAAACAAAAAGATTGTTCCATATATAAATACAACACAAACAATAAAAATATAAATGAGTTTAATAAATATATCTGTACCTTTATGGTGGCAAATGATATTCCACTCTGGAAACTACAAAACCCAGATTTCAAATATTTTTTCGAAAAATATATTAAATTAAAATTACCTGACGAATCTTCACTACAAAAAAATTATGTTCTCCAGTGTGATGAAGACGTATTACAAAACATCAGAAAAGAAATAGAGGATTGTTTTAACTGGAAATCGATAGACGAAACTATCGATGCCATAGGGCGTTACGTCGCAAGTATAATAATTGGTTCTCTATCTTCAGGAAAGTCAACGAAATCAATTATTTGAACTGTTGAAAATTTAGAAAAGGCCAACTTTCAAACAATTTCAAAATTATTCAATGACTCAATGAGTATATTGTGGCCTGAAAAAGTATTAATTTATGTCACAGACGTTGTCCCTTACATGATCAAATCTGGACAAGCGCTAAAAGTGTTTTACCCAAAACTAGTTCACATAACATGTTTGGCCCATGGCCTTCATAGGTTATCGGAAGCTTTTAGAGATCGTTTTCTAAAAGTTGATTTGTTAGTTTCTAACACAAAAAAATTATTTTTAAAAGCACTTGCTCGGGTAAATACTTTCAAAGAAATGTGCCCAAATTTAAGTTTACCGTCACAACCCGCAATTATTCGTTGGGGAACATGGCTTGATGCGGCTTTCTATTATAGTAAAAACTTTGATAGAATCAAAGAAGTTGTCAATACTTTTAATGACAATTATGCAAGGTCAAATTTTATATAACGACAATTCAATAAAAAATGATCTTGCAGTTATGCTATAAAATTTTAAATGTATCACAGAAACAATCAAACAAATAGAAAAATTGGGCACTAATCTCAGAGAAACTTTTGCGTTGATTCAAAATAAATTAAGTGAAGGAGGGAAAGCCATAAAGTTTGCTAAACTTAAACTAATGCAAGTATTAACAAAAAATCCAGGATATTCTCAAATTAAAAACATTTGTGGAATATTAAATGGAGAAATGAACAACAGTAATGATGGTATTGAAGAGTTGTCCTCTGAAGAAATTTTTTTTTTAAATATGTTATTATATCCTGCGACGTCGAAAGAAGTTTTTCTAAATATAAATCAATGCTCCGCGACAATGGAAAAAGTTTTAAATTTGACAATTTAAAAATAAATTTTGTCATTTATTGTTCTATTCGTTCAATAATTAATTTCACAATAATTTTGTGTTGTATTATGTTGTTTTAATAACTACGTTAACATTGCATTTATTTTACATTTAGATATTTTAAATGGATTATCTATTGTCATTACCTGTTTTGTTATTATTTCAATATTTTGTTTTTTTTTAACTACCCAAATAATGTGTTTTATTTGTTAGAAAAATATATATATATTTTTTTTGCATATTTTCACGTTTTTATATGCATAAATATGTGCATGTTCAGCAATATTTTTTGCATAAAAATCCGGGCCCTACTTATAACATAACATTTACGTTATCAACTTGAATGTTATCTTCATTTTCCTTTATTATTAAATTAAAGAGTAAGGCTATTAATAAATAAATTTCTTAAATGTGTTATCATAATTTATCATTTATAAACATCGTAGAAATTTTAGGCCAATTCTTTAAAATGTTTGAATTCAAAAAATAAAGTATAACTCAAGTTTACAAACTTGGTTGATAAGAGAATCATAATTATTTTTTAATTAAGGGTGCATTTTTTATTTTAGCTACAATTAGTTGATAACATTTTATTATTTATTGTTTTACCATAATTCTGTATTTTTCTTTGCAAGCATACTCTGTTTCATCAACATCTTGGAAACAATCGGATTTATAATCTTCAGGCAAAGGTTTTCCATCAAATTCGCATAATTTTTTTAGCGGTCTTGAGTGAACTAGCAACTTATCAAAACCTTAAAAAAATGAATTAATTATTGAAAATATAACATAAATTTTCGTTAGAATATATAATAAAAATGATTATTTATATATTTTTAAATATAAATTATTACCAGTAGGCTTATTTAATGGACAATAAAACACATTAGGAGTTTTTTTGTCATAAACAATTGATTTTCGCATCATGTCTCCAGCCATAACAACGCTCTATAAATATAAAATAAAAATATTAATATATGTATTTAAATAACCAATAACTATTATACAGATTATAAAATAAATAAACTAATGAACTATTCCCAAATCTATTTCATGAGGACACTGGTATGAAATAGACATTTCTTTATTTATTGCAATAAGTAAAGTAACAGGTTAATTTTTACGACAATGGAAACCTTTTTCCTTACTTTTGGACACTATATATGCATCGGCGATCCGAGAAATCTTACCTTTGGTTTTAAGTTTATTTTACAAGAGGACCAATAATAGGAAAAAGTAAATAATATCATGTTTTTAGTTGTAAACGTACATTTTGCGAACCTTAAGAAGTATATTTCGTAGTAATGAACCTGTAATTTTAAGTAATTATATACTACTTAAAATTTTATCATTAATGAAGTAAGGGCTCCAAGTCGGTGATTAATGTGAAAATAATTTGCTCACGAGCCATTGTTTTATATTTCCATTATTGATGTAATAACTGTTATGTCTATCATAATATCTATGATAACAAAATGTTTCCATTACAGGTTTTTCAAATTTTGAGAAAAACAAGTAATGCATAAATACATTTGCTTGGAAAACAATTAAACATTTTTTTTTAACCATCTTGTTTTGTAACTTAAAACCCCAATAGTTCAAAGTTGTAAAGATTAAACTGCAAGGATTGTTCTTCTGAATTTGTCTTAAATTTTTCGAATAGATTAATTGAACAATTTTTCATTTATAGATGGATTTTCTCAGAACGCGCCATATATATATATATATATATAAGACACATTTACAAGATACTGTATGAGAATATAAAATATTTACGTATCCAATAAAATAAATAATACTAATGAATAAAAAAATTGGCTAATCAACTTAAATAAGTATCTTAAATCGTATAAATGAAAAAATAATAGTATGTTGATTAGTACAGAAATTAATAAAAAAAAACATTTGTCTCGATCCTCAATTGCCAACATATAATATAACCAATATGAACTCATTGTATATTAGCATATGGATATTAACATTTATTGAACACTGGCAGACCAAATGTATAAATTTATTTAATTGTATGAAAAAAAGAAATCACGCGATCTCAATAACTGAACTTTTCGCATCATTGTACAATTATATCAGATTTTAATGCCGTGGCAAATAAATAATATACATTATTGAACTCAATTGTGAATATAACGATTGAGATTTCATATACTAGAAAGTTATAATAAAATGTTAAGATTTTTATTTAAAATATATTTTTGTAAAACTCAATGTTAAAAACCTAGTTAAATAGTATTAACATGACTTATTAGTCCAAAATATTGTAAAAATTATATTAAAATTTTTATTAAAACTTTTATATTAAACAAATTAAAAACCTCTGAATAATGTTCTTATATTATTATCTATAAAACTATTTACTATTAAATTGAATACCGACCATTTATCAAAATGAAATTACATAAATAATCTAATTTTTTGTCTAAATGAATCGATACGCCACTTTTTTTTATTAATGAGTATTAAAAAAATTCTTTAACTAACCAATATCATTAATTAGATGGAAAATAACACATTGCATTTAAATTAAACTTACTATAATTGAAAATAGAAACAGAATTTGCATTTGAATAGACATATCTGAAATAATTAATAAATAACATTAAAAATCAGTTATTAAAAGATAGATAATTATGATAATTTGAGTAACTATAATAAAAATATAATCATCCATCACTTAAATAGTAATGTATTTAAAAAATGAAAAGAATTCACATTCAGAGCATTAAAAAAATGAATGGGCATAAATTCAATTAATTTAATTGAATTTGAAAAAACCTCATAAAAATAGTTTGTATATTTACTCTAAACAAGAAAAAATGTGTAATAAAATTCAATTTTTCATTATTAATGATCATTATACCTTTTTTAATGCATAATAATTAAAAAAATTATGTTTATATTAACTCTTCAATCGTTGTTTGATCTACTTAAAATTCACCTAGCCCAACAAGATAAATATAGATTTTAAAACACCCGTATTCAGTGAACTTCAATTTTCTTAAAAAAAAAATTACAAGAATTTTAAATATATCATATCACGTTTACACATCTTAATTCTCCTTTTTTATAATGTAAATAACCTCATAAATTAACACATTAATATTAGACATACAAAGTTATTATAATACAATAATAATATTTAAACAAATAAAGCACGAATTTTCTTTATTAATTTTCGACAAAACCTTTGAAATATTATGCAAGTATAAATAATATTTATAATAATTGTTTCTTAACTTTTATGTAAGAGGATAAAATAAATTCTTAATTACTCGGAATAACGTAATGTAAACGTCAACATAAGAATTGTTGCCTACGTTATTCTATAAATGGTCATCTTAGGTGCATTTTTTTACACACTTCTACTGTATGTGTATATAATAATAATTTATTTTAATACAACTAGAATTAAACTGGAACTTTCTAATATTTTTTTGAAAAAATTAATAAAATAATTACTTTTGTAGATTTACTTACTCATAATTTAAAACGTTGAGGATACACCAACTATAAGACAATAACAAATTATATAATTATAATAGACATCACAGAGTATTCACGTCTGTCCAGTTGTAAGTTTAGCAATGTAATGGAGTGAAGGATAATATAGTTGTAAAATAGATATCTTTGCATTGGAACCTTCTACAACTACAGAAATGTTTCAAAGAATATTTAGTTAAAGGTGGGCTGTGGGCGTTAACCCCCACGTAATTGTACCCAAGTCAAAAACAGGTTTCAAACGTTTTAACAGCGCTAGCAGGGGAAAATGGTAGGAGTAATATAACTGATTCTTAGGTTCACTGATTCATTTAAACATGACAATTTTATTGTGTAACACAACGCTCCTATGACTTAACTCTTCCTGTGTATCTTAAACAGAAATCATGGATATATCTGGGGAATTAATGTGATTAAAACTCTTCAAATTCTGTCTTACCTCCCTAAAAATGTAATAAGTATATGTATTTTATGTTGTACAAAAGTATTTTATAGTAAGAGAAGAAATTAAATTGTATCTTCCAAATTCTTTACTACAATTGGAATTATTAGCAGAGGCGTATTTAGAAATTTATAATGGTGGCGCAACAATTTTTTTTTCATGGATAAGGTACCATAAATTATAAGTCAGAACGTCTATATTCTTAAGACTTTTACCAGATTAAAGCTTTTAAAATGTATTTATTATTCAACAAAAAAATTGTTTCCCAACAACGTTTCTTCTAGGAGAAATCATCCGTCAAAGTACAAAAAAATTATTTGTTATCAATTTTTAAAATGTTTTGAAACGTCTGCGTTCTTTAAACCCGAGGGCGGTGTCCAACGATTTTGGATCCCCCAGAAGCTGTTTCGTGCATTAAATACTATGTAAAATGCATAGATCTCGATTTTTGTTATTTTAAATGAAATATTTCAAATTTATTATTAATTTTTTCACAGTTGTATTATTAGTTTTGATAAAATTGTCCGCCAAACGGCGATTCCCGGAAATCGAATATGTTACCATTATAAATTTATTTTTCTACGTATTTTTAAATGACTTTTTTCTCAGGGAGGTGATTATTACACTATGTTATTTTATTTCTTCTTATTTCAACATTTAACATAAACGTTACCTCTCCGATAGAATTATAAAAGCTATTAAGTACTAAGTAATATTTTTTTAAATAGAATGACATTTAAGACACAATCTTCTATTCAAAGTTTTTTTTTTTAAATCTTTTAAAAAGTCTAATAATGTTCAAATAAATATGTTAGAAGAAAATTTACCTGCTAAAAGACCACTTCCCGCCCTCTAATAATAGTACAAAAAAAACTAAAGAAGATTGTGGATCCATTTTCGTTATTAACTCAATTATGATATGTTTATTTTACATCGAAATACTTTAAAAAAATGTAATCAATGATGTATTTAATAAAGTTTGGATACCGGAAATAAATTTAAAGTTTCAGTACATCGTTTATTTCAGGGAATGAATAAAAGAAATAAAAATCTTAATTTCAATATTCATGTTTAACACGATTTCCTTGGTCGTCGTATTCAGCAATATAAAATGGCATTCTGTATATTTAGTATCGCGTTTTCAAGTTGTCGTGATGGACTCAACTCTCAAGTGTTAGATAGTCTTGTATAAAAAAATTTAACGACTGGAAACACGCGGTTGAAACATTTATTAACCATTCATCTCTAGAATATTACAATAAATGTTGTCTTGACGTTACACATTTTTTAAATGTTTTGAAAAATCCATGTAAATTTACCGAGCAAAAAATAGTTTTAGGGAGAGCTAAACAAGTTGCAGAAAATTGGAACAAAATCAAACCAATAATTAAAGCTATCACGAAGGCGTCAAAACATTTCTTTGTGTGATCATTGTGACAGTCAATTAACTGTCACTAAATATGATGACTTAATAAATAATGAAGGAAATTTTAGAGAAATTCTCCGTTTTCAAGGTCAAGGAGATTTAAATGTTTCTATAAAGTGTAGGGACTATTAAATATATAAGTAAGACTGCTAAATAACAAATAAATAAAAAATGCTATATAACAAATATAATAATAAAATCTTCTATTTCAGTACTACTCCAAAAAATTGTAGCGCGAGTAAATAAAGCTAAATGTTTTTAAATACAGGCTGATGAAACAGCTGATATATCATGAGTTGAACAAATTTCTCTCTGTGTCAGATTCGTTAAACTTTTTCTTTTTCTTCTTTCGCAGACTAGACTAAACAGGTTGGCGATAATGTCAATAAAGATAAAAATTGTGTTAACAGTTGATGGAGTACTCACAAAACTCAGTAAAACGAAAAAATTAGATTTTATTTTATAAAGTATATTTTAATGTAGAAAAAATTACTTTTTTTTTACTAATCATCAGACATTTTTTGGACCTCTCCCCCCAGAAAAATGTTGAAGATCCGCCACTGTTTAAACCTATATGAAATTACTGCTTTTAAGAAAAAAAAAAAAAAAAAAAAACCTTTAATATTTAAATAAAATTTAAAAATAGCAATTTTGTACGATTACAAATATACAAATTATTGTTATATTTACTAAATACGCATCAATGCGCTTTTTATAATAGTAATGTAAATCACTGTCCCAACCATGTCGCATCTTTACTGTGGTGAATATAATCTAGATAAAATTTTTATCAACCCAATACAAAAATACTGACCTATATAAAAGTTTATGTAGGCGTTATCTACTAGTCAATATTAAAAAAGTATGTGACACTATAGATTTTTAAATTAATTATTTAAAAAACAATTCTCACGTGGTCTTACATTTTGTTATTGAATAAAAAAGCATCTTCATGATAGTTTCCCGAAAAATATAACTTATTTTTTTCAAACACTTAATCTATGTTAACAATTATCTTTTTCGTCTTCTACCATTAATAGTATTTAATTGTAACAAATTTAGTAAAACTTTATTCAAATAATTGTCTAAAACTTTTTTCAATACACAACACAAGTTTTGGTTAAAACTATGAGATTTCATACTATAAATTATAAATAAAACATATATAAAATTATTCAAGTAGAATAATAAACATTCATACCATTTTTAATATATTTTTTATAATAACAAATAAGCAAATCTAGACATTAATAATAAAATAAATAATAATTTGTAATCATCTATTATGTATTATGCATAGTATAGGAATAATATATTATACTTATAAATTATTAACATAACAATAATATAATTATGATTAAAAAGGAGTAACAGGTTATACATATATAAATTAAAAAAAAAATAAATGTTTACTAAGTAAAATAATAAAACATAATTCACATTATATTACACATGTTTATTAATCTATAAACAATAGTATAAACTAAATTAATACTTAAACAAAATGTAAACAATAATTTCTATAATATAATTTATAATTAAATAAAATGACACTTTAATATTCAAATAGATTTAAATAAGATATTTTTATTTTTCTTAAGTATAAATATTTTTTAATTTTACAATATACATATAAATATATTTAATGTTATGTTATTTATTTGAAGTTCTTAGTTTTTTTATTTTATACCTTTTAATATATTTTATTTTAACAATAAATAAAGTAAATACTTAATTATAATGATCAAAAATACTTTTATGTACCCCAATAAATTGTTAAAATAATTATAATTAATATTACTGCACAAATTGTTAACAAATAACATCTCTTTTTCCTTAGTTTATTCTGCAAACATAAATGAAATAAAAGTAATTGTTATTCTAAGTTATTAAATATTTTAATCTTTTTGTATAGTAGCTTAATTAATATAAAAATTTGTGTATCAGACTATAGAATGTTAAAGCAAATATAAACTATAAATATCATTATATGAAAATTATTAAAATCAATAATAAACTCATCTTCTAATAAAAAACAATTCAGCAAGAGGTATTTATTGCCTACAATAAATATTTAAAATATAAAATTAATTAAATTAATATTATTATTTAATTATATATTTGGCTATACTCAGTACAGATTATAATGGATCATCTAATAAAGCTAGAATTACAATTTATTGATATTCACTCAGATAAATGATACATTTCGATTGACTGTCAATTTTTGGTTTTATTTGTTTATATTTTATTACTTTTGTCTTAGAGTAAATAGTCAACCATTGACTAATATATAGAAAGGTTACCGCCTTGGAAAATTTTTATGCACTGATTAGAGTGTTTTTAAGTAGTACAGAGTATAGAAGGGATTAATTTTAAATATAAGTCATTAAATTATAAATGTAAACAGATATTTCAGTGTTTATATTCACCTATCTGTTTTATCTAAAAAGATCTTATGTATATTTAAGAAATTTAAAATTAGCATAAGAAAAAATTAAGAACACAATATTTAAGTGATAGTTCTGTACTTACTGTATACTCTGATGCTCTTCTAAGTTGACTAGTTGCCTCTTGAACTGAAACACCTGTTATTTGAACATTGGCTTCAATACTGTCAATAACTTCACCTTGATTGTGAACTAAAGTGCCTAGTTCTTTGAATATTTGATTCACATCACTAATGTCATTCTAAATTTTTGTTTTGTTTATTAAACATTTTGTAAAAAACAATTTATTTAAATTTCTTTTCTTATCATACTAACTTCTAGTTGCCTAATTGCTTGCTCTTGTTCAACTACTTGTAAATTTACTTCATCTAATATTTGTATTTGAGTTTGATCATATTGGCTATCAGATGGTTGAGAATAACCTATTAAAAAAAAATCTGTAAGAATCAGATTGAAATTTTTAACTATCTCAAAAAATTAACCATAATGATTCTTGGAACCTGGTGGTGGAGGTAATATTCCTGTTGATGCCTTAGTACGTTTGAGAAGTTCTGCATTTTCTTTATCATATGCTTTACGTTGAATTGCTTGAAATGCATTTAATGTTGATGTAAAAGATTCTGCTAAACGTTCTTTTTGGATTTTCAACTGTCTCTAAAAGTTTATTTAAATAGAAATGAGTTATATTTTTTAAATAAATGCTGTAATTTAAACAAAAATTAAAAAAAAATTGTCGATTATAAGCTATAAATAAAACAATGAATTATATTTTAGAATGTTTAGGAAAATCTTTATCTGTATCTGCAAAAAAAATAGTTAAAGTAAAAAATTATTTATTTTATTTTATTAATGTCAAATATTTTTGCATAGGTAAAAATATTAATACTAATAATTTTTATATATTTCAAAATATTTTTATCAAACAAACTAAATTAAATTATTTTTTATTCAATTAATACATCAACCAACTTGATCAACTTGAGAACTATATGAACGAATTTCATTCAATTCCTTAAGACTATGACTGGTATCTTTAGATAACTGTTGTGTGTAATGTGAAATTTGGTGTCTAAAAATAAACCCATTTCATTATACATCAATTATTATAAAAAAATTCAAAGAAACAAACTACCTCAATAATATTAAGTATATTTTATTACATATTTATTTTGTATCTAAATCAAAAAAATAAAAATGAATAAAACTTACAATTGTTTTCTCACTTCAGTAGCATCATGCATAGTACTTAACTGGTTGACCATTCTATTCATCGATGACACTAAAAAATTTTTTATTTAAGTTAACTTAAAAGCGACTATTTTCACAATTTACACAGTCACTGTAAATATTCAAAGTAACCCAAAACATTAATACTACTTAACCCTAATAGTTTTGTCACAGGTCAAAGGTCAAACCACATTTTCTATTCAGCCTTTTGATTCTTATATATTAATTATGTAAGAATCATTTTAATTTTTATAATTTAATATTATAGTAAGTAACAAAAGTGGAAATTTTAAGAATACTTAACATTAAGGGCTTATTTTTTACAATATTCTAAGCTATTAGAGCTTAATTTATACTTAAAATTTCCAAAGTCTATCTTAAAAATAAACTGAGATACGTAGGTTCAAAAACATCAGATAAATTGTTTTATGTAAAGATAAACTTGGTCCTACATACTACTGTGCGCTTAGATTTAATTCCCTATGATTAATTTAAAATATTTTTTTTTTTTGGTCTAGTGCACCCATTAAAATGGGCAATAAATGTTAATTTTAAAACAATTGTAAACAATTGGTACAATTAAATTTATATTATCCAACATAAAATGGTGTTTTGACTTTTAAGAGTTAACATAGGAGTCAGTCATAATGGATTTAAATTAATTGTAATATTGAAATAAATATGTTTAAAGACAAATTAGCTCTGGTATTGAGTCTGTAGTAATAATACTACTAAGTTTTTTTATCAAATATTAACTATAATATAGTTACAAAATAATGAATAAATACATTTTAGGTTTAAAAATAATTAATTATTATATATAAAGGAATGAGATTATGAAATTACCATTTTGTGAAATCTTTTGTATGTTTGTGCCAATCAATTGAGCTAATTTTTGAAAGTCTTTTTCACCTCCATTGCTTTGGTATGAATTACCATAAAAACCATCCATATTTAAGAATTATTGCGAACACTTAAATAAAAAATGTTGATTTATAACGAATTAAAATTTATAAATGTCTGCAATAAATAGTAGTAATTATAAACAATAATAAAAATTAGTTACATAACTTTTAATGATAAAATTGTGAAATCATCAGATTATGTTAAGCTGTATTTTTTGAAGGTAAACTATTAACATGGTATACTATTATAAGTAATAGGACATATACATGTTAATATGATACCAAGCTGTACAAGATTTCTAATGATAAGTTATTACAAAGCATGAGTCATCCGTCACTAAAGATAACAAAATACTTAATCAAGTCAGCTTTGCCATAATGAAATTTCAAAGAGTTAGTAAAAACGTATCCTAAATTTGTAAAATTGTGACTAATAATTTCTATATATACAATTTATCATACATAAGAAATCCACAAATTAGGAACTATTTTATGATTTTAGATATGCAGAAGAATCTAAATTTTCTAAAATTTAAACAATATAGTACTAAGTTCTAGCGCATTCAGTGTTTTAAAATTCTGTTTCATGGAAAAATTATCCTTTCATACGTACTCAAATAATTAATGATTTTAATTTAAAATTAATTTATTTTTTCAAGTAAAATTATAACTACCAATCTGATCTGATTTAAAATTTTTTATGCAAACTATAGTTTTAAAAATCACTACTTGGTAGAATAAATTTGATGTAGAGATCATAATTATTAATTTTGTTATATTCAACAGTAATGGAAAATGAAAGCCAAGATTCCCTCATCTAAAAATACTAAAATATCGTCATAATTAATTGACATAAATTGAACATTTATTTAGTTTCACTTTCATTTTTTGCTGTATTTTTTGAAACTGAAGTACTTACTTAAAAATAAAACATTTTAAAAAAATGTCTGCAATAAGTGTTAATAAATTTAAAATAAAGTCATTTAATTATATAGTGAATTATTGAAACCAAGTCTCAAACAAATATTTGAATATTATATACACATATTATGGTTTATTAATGTTATCATAATTATTTTACTTAGTTTTTATTTTAAATTATGTTATTAATTTGAAGTACATGATAAACCAAGTTTTTAATTTTGTAATTCATAAGAAAATTAATTAAACTAATTTTGATACCTATAAATTTAAAAACTATTTAAGTTAAAAAAACAACATAAATATGAAAAGTAACATAATATACTACATTGACAACATTTATTTTAACTTTTATAAAATTTTATAAGTTCAGGATCAGTAGGTTTAAGAATAACTTTATCTATAAGATTAACAACCCAGCCTGGTTCAAGTCCATAAAATATTTGTCTTTGATCTTTTCTTGTTGTAAGCATTTCATAATCTAGATCATCTTCTATTTTTGGAAGTGTATAACCATACTTTTGAGCTAATACAAATCGTTCCCAAGATATTTTTTCAGGATCTGCTAAATAACCTCGATTTGTAGCACTTGTATAATAAAGAATGGCATCTTCAGGAGGTATCATTCGTCTTGGAATTGCTTCGCCTAAAAGTATAAATTTAGTTTAAAGATAACATAGATTTGTGTAGTTAAATGATAAAATATTCAGTATTTGTTGTTTTTATGACATAATTCAAAGGTATTTTTGTTTTTTAATAGATACAAGAGTAATCAGAATGAAAATATTAATAATATTGATATAATAATAGATGTATTTATTCAACATTCAGTAAAAGAAAAGTAATAAGTTTATGGATTGAATTTTTTTTTAAACCTTTAAAGTTAAAATGATTGAAATGCCACTTTAGAAAAACAAATTTTGAATGTATAGTGATCCCTGAGTCACGTTGTGTTGTGAGTTTTAATACGACATTGGGCGTCCTGAAGCAATACCTCACGGTAGTTCCAAGGCGTCCAACACAATGTCGACCATTTAAAGTAATGACAGGAGGTGAGGTGTGGGTGCTGTTATTTTAATCACTAGACACATCTCAGCCTCATTCCTTCTTCTAACTAGGTATAAAAATATTAATAACTTCTGAAATATTGATCCAGATTTTATAATGAGGTTTTAATAGATCATTATCTAATAAATAACCTAGTTATTATGTATGTTGACAATTAAAAAATGTCTGTTGAAACCCTTATTATGTATAAAGGATAAATATAACATAAATCATGATTGATAAATTAAGAAAAACATAGCACTAAAAAAATCAAAAATAATGTTCTAAATATTTTATGAATTTATAAGTAAATCTTAAAAAAAAAAAAATTATTTTCAAAATAGATAGGAATAAATTATTGAAATATAAATAGAAACTTTACCTCTTTGAAAGAATGCCTTTGGATTAATCAATATAAATAAGCTATTTATATCATAAAAGGATGTTGTAATTACTCCACCATTTCTTTCTATTGCAGCAATTGTCGGTTCATTGGCCCACTGAACTTCTATGTTAATTTTTGCTTTGAAATTATCAGCACCCTAATTAAAGTATACTTATGATGTAACAGAGTAGAATAACATAAATTTAAAAATTAATTTTTTTTGATACTTCATCTGTCAAATTTACTCCAAAATGCTTCTCTTCGGGATTTATATTGTATAAACCGCTATTACACAACACTGATAAATCAATTGGTTTTCTAATATCTATACGATTCAAGTCTATCATTTTTTGTAAACTGTTCAATGAAAGTGGAGGATATTGTCGTCTTATTCTAAATATTAAAATATATTAAGCAAACAAGTAGTTAAATCTGTGAAACTTAGAGTACCAATTTTTATTATTTAATTTAAAACTTTAGAAGTATACACAAATAAGAATTAAGGTTACTGAGATACTAGACTCCAAAGCCAAGACTATAAGTACACAATTAAAAATTTATCATTTTTGACATTATGATATAATTTAATTTAGTTAATTAGTCTTCATATAGTGATATAAGTTCTATGTAAGAACCTATTTTAAGTTCTATAAACTAAGTACCTAGAGATTACTTTGAGATTTGCCCTCATAACAAAATAAAAACAAAAATAGAAAAACTGTCACTATTCATTACTAGGCAAGTAAAATTCAAAATGGACCCCCGGTCTTTCCAACCCATCCTATAATCTGGGCTTGAAGTTAACAACATTTTTTTGGTTATTATGTTTTTGAATGTGAGTTAATTATTATACATAAAAAGAAAAATGTATGTGAAAAATAATAATTTTAAATTTTAACAGTAAATTACCATGTAAATTAAAGTATAAAAATTGATGAACAATACAACCAAGATTTATACGTACTCATGGTTTTTGTAATATTGTTCCCTAGGAAATTTCAAATAAAATGGTGTATTTCCTGTTTCATAACCAGGCCTCATAAAATTTTGCCTAGCTTTTGATCCTTTATTACCATGACCATGCTTGTCACCACCATGTTGAGCTCGGCCACGTTTATTCTTTAAAATGAATAGTTTTTATAAATAATAAATAATAAGGTTTGTAAATAACTACAAATTATTTAATATTCAATCAACACGACTAACTTAAATAAAATATCTCTACCTTTCTAGTAGCACCGGCGTTATTTTTAAGATTAGAAATAGACAACCTAGGAAGATTTCTTAACAAATTCAAAACAGAATTGTTCGTAAATGAAGTCATTTTAAACAGATTTATTACTTTAATAAATTTAATGTATTTAAAATAATATTAAAAATGGCTTATAAACTTCAAATTCAATTACATTGTTAAAAATTATTAATGATAACGCTGATATTCACTTGTATAATGATAAAAAGTAAAAGACGAAATTGATAATTATTTATTGCAAGTATAAGACATTTTCTCAGAAACTATTGAATATTTCCATGTTTCGTTAAGGTAAATCTTGTTTGATTAAAAAAATATTTTTTTTCATCACATTAGGGATTAATATAATAATACGTATATTTAATTGTCTTATATTAGAATACATATTTTTGGTTTGAGTGTATGATAGAAAAAATGTTCAAAAATTTTTATTGTAATAATTATTTTTATTTCAAAAACGATATCAACTCCTATTTCCATACTTTATATTGGTTAATATTTTTTAGCTTCGATGCGAAGCTGAGAAGGTATTAATTTTACTATGATGTGTTTTTTTTTTTTTTTTATGTCTGTTGCCACTTTTTCTCAGCTCTCACCGAACGAATTTCTTTTAACGATACGTCAAAAGATCACAAATTGTATCTAGTCGAAGACATTACCCTCAAAAATTGAAAAAAATTCCATCGTTCCCCGTAAATGGGGGAAACCTCCAAACAAATTACAAATTTAAAAATCGCTAATTATCGAAATTTTCTCAATTTTTTTTTTCTTAAAACTGGCATTACTTTTTCAAAAATGAACAAATCAATGTAATTATAGATGCTTGATGTCTTTACCTATCATTTGATAAATTTTTTTTATAAATTTAACCCTTTATCTGCCCACAGGAGGGATTTAAAATGACAACTTTTTCACAAAAAATTTACTTTTTCAACTTAACTTATGAAAGTGTTCCGGAAAGTCTGACACTTTTATATATATCTTAAATTAAAGCTAATATAATGTACTTTATTATGAAAAAAAAATATGTAGTACTTTAATTAGTTTTCATGGTGAAAACGGACATTAAAGTTAATAAAAAAAAACTTCTCACTTTCGCTTTGAATCTATAAGAAAAGTACAGTCAGAATCAAACGATTTATTTTTGTAAAATGTGTCGATGCATATTTATAATAATTTTTTTTTTAATTTAAAATTTTCATTAAAAATTAAACTTGAGAGGCAGGCTACTCATAAAAGTCAAGTAGTCAGAACGTTTTTATTGCTAATAAAGTACATTAAATCAGTTTTAATCTGATCAAATGTAAAATAATGTCCATATAGTACACAAAAAACTAAAAATTCATCATTTAAAACGAAAATTGTATGATTTTTAGCTGTTATTCCCAGTAAATACTGTAAATAAAGTTTTTGTATAGTTTTTTCTTTTACTTAAAGAGTTTTGTATAGATTTAATTTGATGTAGGTTTGAAGAAGTCCGGTTTTTTTAAAATGACGGGGGTTGAGGAGAATTTTCAAAACTGTGGTGACTTCTAAAAAACCATCTAAATACGCTTTTTATTCTTTTGCGTATCGTTAAGTAAAATCGACCCAACAAAAAATTATAAATTTCCACTATTGACAGGAAAGAAAAATACGTGTATTTTTTTCATTTGATACGTAAACGAGAGGCTAATATTAGCTTAATCTACGCATCATACCTAAAATAATAAAAATAATGATTGTATCTAAAAATATCTTATAATGTTTTTTATTATTTACCTATTTCTAAAAAATTACATTTAGCAATTATATAAACACCATATTCTGACACATGTTTTTCATTAAATAATTGTTTAAATCCATCTGTTCCTATACTATTATTGAATTTTGTAAAATTTTTTGTCTTACGAATTAATATCTAATTTAATATTATCACTCTTTTTTAAAGAAAACGTTTTTACTTTTCGCCCTACAATGAAACTAATACAACTGAGTTATTTTTTAAAATAACTTTTAAATATTGTAGAAAATATTATTACCAAAATTAATTATTATAGTGTTAAAATAATTATTTATTATATAAAGTGATGTCCTAAATGCAGGCTCGGGACTTGTGATATGTCTTTGTATTTTAAGGGTCAATTTCTAACGCCGACTCGACATATATGCAAAAAAAAAAATCCCAGCATAGGGTAGGTCGCGGCACACTGGTGACGTGGCATAGTTGGATCAAGTATAATGATATCTGACAGTGATTAAAATCACTATCAAAAAAAAACGCTTCGATGCAAATCTTTAGATAGTGTTTAATTTTAAAAAATTGGTGGATTATTCCAAAAGCTTCATAAACTGCTAGTTCCTTATTAATATCCTGATTAAGACAAAGTATGTAGAATAAAAAAGGGATTATTAAAAAATAGTATTTCCCATAAAAAAATTATATTGATCAATACACTTTTCAATAAGTTATAGCATTATAAATTTAAAAATGTAAAAAATAAAATTGAGAATTTTCACACAATAATAGCATTTGGTAGCCATTTTCACCTTGAAGATAAAATAAAGTCCGAAATTTTTTTTTTCCATGATAAAGTATATTACATTAGCTTTAATTTAAGATATATATAAAAGTGTCAGACTTTCCGGAACACTTTCAAAATTTAAGTTGAAAAAGTCAATTTTTTGTGAAAAAGTTGTCATTTTGAATCCCCCCCTGTAGGCAGGTAAAAAGTCAGATTTATAAAAAAAATATACCAAATGATAGGTAAAGACATCATGCATCTACAAAAAAAAGAATTATATTGATCCATACATCTTTCGAGAAGTTATAGCATTATAAAGTTAAAAATATAAAAAAGAATTTTTTTACAAAAATCGTATTTTTTTTATTAAGTTTAATGTCTGTTTTCACCATGAAGATAAAATAAAGTCCGAAATTTTTTTTTACCATTATAAAGTATATTACATTAGCTTTAATTTAAGATATATATAAAAGTGTCAGACCTTCCGGAACACTTTCAAAAGTTACGTTGAAAAAGTTCTACTTTCTATATGCATTTTTATGTTTTGAATCCCCCCTGTATTTAGGGAAATGGTCCGATTTAAAAAAACAGTATGTCGAATGAAAGATCTATATAAATACTACTTCTCATAAAAAAATTGTAATGATTCATACATTTTTCAAAAAGTTATAGCATAATAAAGTTAAAAATGGAAAATACAAAATCGAAAATTTTCACACAAAAATAGCATTCGGTAGCCATTTTCACCATGAAGATAAGATAAAGTCCGAAATTTTTTTTTACCATAATAAAGTATATTACATTAGCTTTAATTTAAGATATATATAAAAGTGTCAGACTTTCCGGAACACTTTCAAAATTTAAGTTGAAAAAGTTCTACTTTCTATATGCATTTTTATGTTTTGAATCCCTCCTGTATTAATGGAAATGATACGATTTAAAAAAAAAGTATGTCGAATAAAAGATCTATATAAATACTACTTCTCATAAAAAAATTGTAATGATCCATACATTTTTCAAAAAGTTATAGCATAATAAAGTTAAAAATGTAAAATACAAAATCGAAAATTTTCACACATAAATAGCATTCGATAGCCATTTTCACCCTGAAGATAAAATAAAGTCCGAAATTTTGTTTTGCATAATAAAGAACATTACATTAGCTATAATTTAAGATATATATAAAAGTGTCAGACCTTCCGGAACATTTTCAAAAGTCAAGTTGAAAAAATTGTAATTTTTGCGGAGGTTTCCCCCATTTTCGGGGAACGAGGGAATTTTTTTCAATTTTTGAGGGTAATGTCTTCGACTAGATACAATTTGTGATCTTTTGACGTATCGTTAAAAGAAATTCGTTCGGTGAGAGCTGAGAAAAAGTGGTAACAGACAAAAAAAA